GGCATCGAACACACAGGCTCAACTCACACACACACAAGTGCGAAGGCACGCAAAAWGGGAAATAGGCAAGTAGGTAGAAAGCGCAATTACAGTGCGCGCCAATATATTAACACTACTTGCGCTTCGACATACATATATATGTATATTTGAAAATAGCCAGATTTGTAGCTAATAGCTGCTTGAAAATCTGTGTAGCAATCGGACTTAAAAAGTAGCCAGATCTAGCTACAAAATAGCTGATTCGGCAACACTGGTCGCAGCACACTGATTTTGTCGTGCCTTAATATCACTGCTTGAGCCTCAGAAGACCGAGCCGACCAAATACGAAGTTGTCCGGTTTCTTCAGCGCATTTTTTCGGTGTTGAAAAAGTTTGTTACATGTCTAGTCTATGTGTTCTCTTGGTTAGTGCTTAAACCCATTGAAAGTGGGAAATGTGAGAGAAGTACGTCAAAATTGTATAAAATACTCATGAATCTACATATGTATGTATATACATATAATATTTAGGAACTCTAGCTCTAATATATGATTATTACATATGGAAATTAAATTATATTGAAAAATATAATATTATTAGTCCAGACCAGCCAAAAATAAGAGGACACTGTTTGTTTTATTTCATAAACCGCACGCACTCGTCGCAACGCAACTAACTTGAAGAGCAACACATAAGCACCAACAACACAAAAGACAAAGACTTTTAGAAACGTAGAACATACATGTAGAATCGTCTAGCTGACATAGAACATACATGTAGAATCGTCTAGCTGACTAATGCATGCTCTCAGCTTTGCATTTGTGTTCCTGACTTTTGCTTCTTTTTAACAAATTATACATGATTTGATAATTTTACATATGTATGTGTTGGTGTGTATATATACACAAGTGTGATTGCCAGTAGAGGCCATATATTGATTGATAACTGCTTGAATATTTTGTGCAGGTTGCCGAAAAATGAACATACGCTTCGACATTCTATACTTGTATTAGCCAATATCATATCAGGGCTAGCGTGAAAAGATTACTAAAGTCAAACAATGTAGTGCAGCAGATCAACCGATATGGTGTACGCTCCACGATTAAGTGAACGAACGTCTTTTAACAGTCGTAGCACATTGAGTCTACTATCAGTGATACACCCGATGGTTGATCGATAAACCAAAATCGAAAAAACAGCGATCGATCTAATGCTTAGCCCTATTATCGAAAGTGTCATCGATGATTATAACCGTCTGCGTATAATATCTGTACAAAAACTGATTAACGATGTGCCACCACGTTTGTAATTCGAGCTGTCTGAACTTTTGCAGCTGCCGCAGGTGTTGCTTAAAATTACTTATGGCATAATGAAGCACGTGTCTAATTTAATAATTCCACAGTGCGACTCCTGCTGCTCCTCTGCAGTGTGGTATGTAATACAAATAAATGTTGACTAAATGCTTTTAAGTACTCACTCACTCACTTTTCACAAAACAGTAACAACTCACGAGCAACTCACGACAAGCTCACGACAAACACACGACAAACTAACGGCCAACTCACGAGTGCTGGCTGCCAGGCAAAGTAACAGGAAATTTTTAGGTTTCAACTCCCGACGGCGACGGCAATTAACTCAAATTGATAATGACGACTCAAGTTGTGGGTGGCTTAAGGCTGGAGGCGGCTCTCTCTGTGTGTGTGTTTGCACCAACACCACCTGCTGGCTGCGACGTGATTTCATTTGCACTACGCCAAATGGCGACACATTTCGACACGTACTGTATCATAATTCGGCGCCGTAAGCTTCAGTTCCGTTCCGTTTAGTTCAGTTCAGTTCAGTTTAGTTTAGTTTAGTTCAGCTGAGCTCGTTTCAGTTTCGTCTTAGAGCTCTGTATAAGTTTGGACTATGGATAAAAGTAGCTAAGCCACGATAAAATTGCAATATAAATGCTGGAATAGCAAGCTAACTGAAATAGTGTAAGAAATCATATGAAAAGTAGCTAAAATGTTTTCAAATTGCTTTTTCTATCTAGATTGTTTTTGTTCTTTATGATATTTATTCAGTTCTGTTGGATGAAGTAACAAGCACACAAAACATACGAAAGATGACAAGTTTCGATATTTGTATTATTAAATAAAAATCGATGCCAGGTATATGGCACCATATATCTTGTAAGATTTGTGTGTGGCTAGTCCACTTTAAAATATGCTAGATTTAGCCTGAAATAGGCTAGGCTGGCAACACCATTCAGTTGAGTTCGGTTAGGCTGAGCACGCTGCTCTGCCCTTTGGCATAATTAAAATGAAATCATTTTCGACAAGTTGGCTGCTTTTGGCTCCTAACAGCTTTTTCGGCTAGCTATTTGCATTCCTCGCTGGCACGTACCGCCAGTTAGACGTTATGCGCGCCATATGATAATAAACTTCTGGGCACTAGCTCCAGCTCCAACTGCAACTCCAGCTCCAGCTTCGGCACAGCTCCAGATGTGGCTGCTGCTCTCCCTCTCTCTCTCTCTCTCTCTCTCTCTCTCTCTCTCTCTCTCTCTCTATCTCTCTCTATCCCCATCCAACTCTTGGCTGTCTGTGTTGTTGGGACTTGTTCGTGCTGGAATTTTTATTTAATTTGCTCAACTGTCGTGTATGCTGCTCGCTGTTGTCTTTCCTGTTTGCTGCATTGTTTGAAATTAATTTCACTTGTCGTTCCACCATCGTGTCGTGCGCTCCTCGTCATCCGTGCCATCATCCGGTGTGCCCTGTGCCTTGTTCCTTGCGCATTGTGCGTGCCGTTGTCAATGGCGCTTAGCTTCGCATAGCTGAGGCGTCAGAGCCAAGGACAAAGGTGGCAGCGAGTCCTTGCAGCCTCGCTGCGACTCGCAGTCAATCGTTTGGCCAAATCAGCGCGCTAATCATTCTGCCACAGACACTGCCGAGGCAATGCAACGCACTCGTTCAATCACATTCGGGCATGTCAACAGCTTGTCGCTGTGCTTCTCCTCCTCCTCCTCCTCCTCCTCCTCCTCTTCTTCTTTTATTGCTCAGCCGGAAGTAGTAAGCCCATAAATGTCATAGAGGAAGCGAGCGGCTTTGGCTGAGCTGCCAACAGCAAGCAAGTCGAGTCTAACTTATGTGCAGCAGCATCCGCAGCATCTCTTCGCATCCCTTCCCATTCCTTTGCATCCCATGCCATCCTTGTCTTGTTGTTCTGCCGTTCGTCTGTTTTGTCATTAATCACCGACAATAATGAACTTCCGCCGTTTGTAGTTGCAAAATGGCGCCGATTTGGATTCGGATTCGGACTTGCAACGGCTGCCAGCAGCGACTTCTCCTTCGCCATTCTCCGTCAGTCTCTGCCATTCTCCGGCGTTGTCATTAGCGCAATGTTGCAAAATTTATCGTGTGACTTATGAGACGAACAGCTGGACAGACGGCTGCCGGGGCCAGTCCAGGCC